GACGCCCTGCTGCGCCCGCAGCCTGGGGCCGGGGCTTCACGCGGCAGCCTTTCTGGGGGTGACCTGTTTTCTGAGCCCGAGATCCGGCTATTGAAAAAAATTCAAGTTTGTACATTTTTTTCCCCCACAGGTGAGAAGCGTTTATAATAGATTTGTATTTTTTTCAATTTTGTGCTCTTTAGACATTTCAAAGAAAGAAAAGGCTTGCTTTTTTTAGTTCCGATTGCGGTTTAACAGCCTCAGAGCCCTCTCCAGAGCCCCAGGGGTTTTTGGTGTTTTTTTTCCCGTCTTATTTATGGAGGAAAAAACGGTCATTTTGTCCAACACACTGTGAGGCCCCCACTCAGGCTCGGCCCTGGCCCTCCCTTGGTACTTGCAACTGAAGTTACAGATATATATTAAAATAATAATTAATGTACAAAACTGTTTTTTTGCCTTATTATGCAGAAGTGTAAGATTTCTTTTTTTGGTTTGTTTTTTTGTAAAAAAACAAATGGAACAAATGTAAATAGTCTCTTAATATAAATATATGATGTTATTAAATTCTTTATCTAGGTATACTTTATAAAAACAGTTTCTAGACATCCCTGTGTTTATTTTACGTGGTCACAAAGCCACCGGCTGTTGGTAGAAACTCTTGGAAGTTTGACTCAGGCACCGGTGACCCTTCAACTATGCAAGTGCCCCCAGGGGGTGGCTCCTGGCCAGGTGGCTGTGGGAGGTTCCAGCTGGGCACCCAGCTGGGCACCGGCCGCCCGCGCCGGCCACATAGGCACTTCTGTGGACCCTCGTGCTGTTCTCAGAAGCTGTCCCTGACAAGTAGGGTTTTAGAAGGGAGGAGTCTATGTTGATCACAAGAAATCAGTGTCTGTCTGTTTCCTCTGTGGCAGCCATCAGCCACCGTCTGTCCAGTGTTGTCCCTCCACCGGCCAATACCTTGCGTGAGGTTCTGTTTGGTTTCAGTTTTGCTCTCGTAACCACACGAACATCATGGTGTCCAGTCAGTGTCCCCTCGTGCTCCCTGACATCCACGCCCGGTCGGTTCAGCCACATTCTGGATTTCAGCCCATGTTTCCACGGTGGGTGTGGTGATTTTAAACATTCTGTCCTCATGTCAGTCAATGAGAAATACAGCCTTGATTTTGGATGAAAGGTGGTTGAGTGTTTTTTTGTGTGGTGGTGCTCGAGGTGGGGGTCCCCGGGGTGACAGGCAACCTTGTCCTGGAAGTGGTTTTGGTCCTCGCTGTGTCCAGCGTCACTGCTGCCACTGGAACCCCTTCCTCCCAGCCTTCGCCGGGCGCCCCATCTTGTGCTCAGCTCCATTCTCCTCCCATCGTCCCCACCCCGTCACCTGGTCACCTGGATCGTGCTGGTCTTTTCCCTCCCTGCTCTCCCAGCTGTGGTCTCTGGGTGTTGGCTCCGTGGGGCACTTCTCAGAGGGTGGCTTGCCGGGAAGAGAGGGACCCACGTGCCAGAAACTGGACTGAGGTTCTCCTTGTCTGCCCGAAATTCCTCAAATGCACCTTCTCAGCCCTGGTTAACCTGCACTAGGGCAGCAGCCAGGGAGCAAACTGCTGTTTTCTGCAGAAAAGGTTTTCCTCTCAGGTCTGTAGAGGAGGCTGGGGCTGGCGGGTCCCCATCCCATCAGAGAGGAACACCTGGGGCCACCTGGGGCGGCGGCCACCCACCGCGGCCCACATCGCCACCTGGAGGCCGACCTGGGGATTGCATGGGGCCCAGCTGGCATCTTCCCTGAAACTTTTCCTTCCAAGTCCTGGGCGCTGTGGGTGCAGAGTCCAGGGTGCCTGTGGTGCTGGGCCTGCCTCATGAGTGGCACAATCAAACAAGCCATGGGGTGTCTCAGAAGGCCCAATACACAAGGAGACAAAAAGGGAAGGGTGTTACTAGATGGTTAAAGAGGTCCCCCTGAGAAGCTGACATTTGATAGACTTTCGGGGAGTCTGTGCATACTTACTGGGGGAGCATCTGGCAGAAGGAGCGGCCAGTGCAAAGGCCCTGAGACAGGAGGATCCAAGAGGTGGTGAGCCAGGACCCAGGGAACATGGAGAGGAGCTGAAGTCAGAGCAAGCTGGCCACACCGTGCAGAAGCTGTGACAGTCTGGCTTCCACTCCAGGTGTCTCTGGAATATTTTGAGCTAAGAAGAGTAATTCTGCTTTTTATTTTTTTAATCCTCACCAGAGGATATTTTTTCCGTTGCTTTTCAGAGAGAGAGAAAGAAACATCAATGATGAGAGTCACTGATCGGCTGCCTCCTGCGTGCCCCTGACTGGGGATCGAGCCCACAACCCAGGCAGGTACCCTGACTGGGAATTGAACTGTGACCCCCTGGTTCATGGGTGGATGATCAGCCACTGAGCCACGCTGGCTGGGCATGTGTGGCCTTTCTTTGCTGGGTCACACCAGAAATCAGGTGTGAGATCAGGCCACACAGCTTCTCAGGGAGTCGCTGTTGCACGAGACCTGAGCAGACCCTGCTTTTCCATAGTCTCCTCATTGTCTACAGATTTTTTTGCCTTTATTCTCTGAAAAAAAAGTGACAAAACACGCTTTCATGCAATTGGTTTATTGATGCTAAGTAATTAAGTGGCAGGTCCCAGGATGAGCAGCGTGACATGGGCAAGCTCCCTCAGATTCAGGCGTGACGTGATGCAGAGGGGTGGTGGCGAGGTCCAGGCTGGTGCTAGTTCTTCAGCACACAGATCCCTCTCCGTGTCACTAAAGGGCACAGCAAAAATCAGAAGGTGCAACACAACAGAGGACCTATGCGCTTTCTGGACGAGGTCTCTTAAGAGCACCAGGCATGCTCAGCCAGTGTGGCTCAGTGGTTGAGCGTCAACTCATGAACCAGGAGGTCAGGGTTCGATTCCTGGTCAGGGCACATGCCTGAGTTTCTGGGCTCATCCCCCAGCAGGGGGCACACAGGAGGCAGTCGATCAATGACTCTCATCATTGATGTTTCTCTCTCCCTCTCCCTCCCTCTCTCTGAAATCAATAAGAATATATTTTTTAAAAATAAAATAATAACTTATTTCTTAAAAATTTAAATAAAAAGAGCACCCGATGTGACTCCCACTTTGCTGATGGACTCAGCTCGTCTGGAACAAGGACACCAGTGGGACCTTCTGATTCATTGGGCCAGGATTTGACACATTTCTGTGAACACCTGCTGTGCCTGGGTGCTGGTGACACCACAGGAGGACAAAGGTGCCAAACATCTGTGGGTCCCAACCACCGAGGGTCAGAAACCCCTCTACAATCAGACGGATGTTGCAGATTCTACCACCAAAGCGTGTACTTAAACACCCCGACACGTCTTGCCCCAAAAGCCCATCTCTGGTCCCTGTGCACCCCCATCTCCATCCCCCCTCACCTCCGTCTGTCCCCCACCCAGTGAGGTTCAGCCAGTGGGAGGCTCCCGTGGCAGGTGGAAGAAGAGAGAAGCTCCTGGGGAAGGTCCTCTCTCAGGCCTCCAGCCCTGGGGCACTGTCACCTGTCCCCAGGTGCTACCTGGTCCCGCCTGTCCCTGACCTTCACCAAACACGTACATACTGTTTCCACTGGGTCCCTGAGGGTCCTGGAACCTCACTCTGCCCATGACCTGTGTCCTTCTGACACCTTGCCGAACCCCCTGCTGGCTGCACCACCTCCCCAGGACTCACGGGGGGCAGGCACTGGGCCACGAGCCCTCTGCGGGGCATGCAGCGCATAGGGCTGTACTCGGACAGGGAGATGCAGCACTGGCTCCGGCACTCCCTGTGGTTCACACAGGGGTCCTTGTTGGGCTGGGGAGACACAGAGGCCTAGGTGTCCCAGGTGCCTGGAAATCTGCCCGAGGGAGCCCGGCAGGTGCCCCCTGAACCCCACCCCACTCCCAAGTCCTCACTTTGCGCCAGTTCAAGCACTGGAAGAATATGGTCCTGGGTGTGCAGAACTTCAACAGGCCGTTGGTGGTGGTGACGCAGCAGTTGCTGTTGCACTCTTGGTTGTCCATGCAGGCGTAGCCACTGGGCTGCAGGACAGGGGCCAGACCTTCCTGCCAGAGACCCTTCCCAGAGGCAGGTGGCCCTCCCCCCTCCCCCCTCCTCACCTT